AACCGCCAGCCTTCTGGTTAGCAGTCAAGTGCCGTAGCCACTATGCTACCAGAGCTACCAACAGTCTTATGGGGACTGTTGCTGTTTTCCCCTCCATTAGACAAAAATAACAATTGAATAACCATCAAAAAATAAAGGCACATTGATTAAAAAAAATATATACCATGTAATCACACAGGAACAGTAACCAAAAAAGGGAAAAAAGTAGAAAAAGAAAGAAAGAAAAAAACTACAATATCTGGGGAGAGTGAAATAAAAATAAAAAAGGTAGGGAATGAAAATAATGAAGAAAAATGGGAAAAAGGCAAGAAGAAAAATAAGAAATGGGCTTAACAATGAGAAAGAAAAAAAATTGTAACAAGGAACAGGTAAAAGAAAAAAAGCTGTAAACTAGATCCTGGAAAGGGAAGAATAAAGAATAATAATAAAAAAGCAAAAGTAATAAAATAGTAGTAGTTTTAAAATAGACAATAACAAACTAAAAAAGAGAAAACAGAAAAAAAAACTGGGGCAGGGCAGGACAGGGCATGGAAACTCTGTCCAACCACACAGATTTGGATGGAATTCCTGCCAGCCCAGAAAGTGGGTGGGAGTGACAGATGGCTGCACCTCTGTTCACCAAAATGGTGTGGGGTATAAGAGTAACAAGGGGAATGTCTCACCTTTCCAGTCATCCACATCCGGAAGGTCCTTGGGGTCCCTGGCAAGTGGAGCCTGTTCTTAAGTCCCTGGAATCTGGGAGAATGCTGTCACATTAAATAACCAAAATGGGCAAGCCACTTGTAAACATTCAAAATGGCTGCACCCTCCGGACAGACAGAAGTCTACAGCTCAGTCCACCTTCTTCTTTATTGCTTTCCCTTTTATTCCCCAGCCACCAGAGCAGTTCTCTGTGCAGTCCCTGGCTAGCAGAGCTGATTTTTAGGTTAATTCTTAGGTCCCACCACCACTTAGCAATATCCAAGCTGTCTGGGCTGTCAGGATTGCTGCCAGACCGCAGCTCTGTATGTCTCCTTTTTTGGTATTTTCATGCAAATTCTTCTTCTAGTTGGAATTTAGTCCACTTCTATATCCT